AGAATTAGCTCTTCAGGTGGAAGCTGAATGTTCTAAATATTTATATAAAGGTCTGAAAAGTTTTTGTATGTATGGTGGTAGAAAGAGAAGGACAAATTCAAGGCATTACCAAAGGTGTAGATATCATTATTGCCACTCCCGGAAGACTGAATGACCTGCAAATGAATAAGTTTGTTAACCTACAAAGCATAACCTACTTGGTCTTAGATGAGGCAGATAAAATGCTAGATCTGGGGCTTGAGCACCACATTAAGAAAATTTTGTTAGATGTGCGCCCAGATCGGCAGACTGTTATGACAAGTGTGACTTGGCCAGATTCTGTCCGTAGACTTGCACAGTCTTATTTGAAAGAGCCTATGATTGTTTATGTTGGCACTCTGGATCCAGTTGCTGTAAACACAGTGAAGCAAAATATAATCGTTACCACAGAAGCAGAAAAACGAGCTCTTATCCAAGAATTCCTAGAGAATATGTCACCCAAAGACAAAGTCATAGTGTTTGTCAACCAAGAGCAATGTGATCGAGAGGACGCATTAGAAGACTTTACAAGTGGAAAAGTGAAGATATTGATTACAACTGATTTAGCATCCCGAGGCCTTGATGTTAACGATATCACACACGTATATAATTATGATTTCCCAAAAATCACTGAAGAATATATCCACAGAGTAGGGCGTACTGGAAGAGCAGGAAAGACCGGAACATCAATTACCCTTATCACTCAAGATAATTCAAAGATTGCCAATGAATTGATTCAAATTCTGAAAAGAGCAAATCAGAGTGTCCCAGAAGTTCTTGTAGCGATGGCCAAGCGATGCAACTTCCAGAAACAAACAAGGGACACAGAAAAAAGACCAGGAAAGTCTTGAGGAAAACTCAAGAAGTTTTAGTTATGTTTACATTGAAAAGTTGTACCAGCTATGGGAAGATTTAAGGCATGTTGAACATATACAGTATTCAAGATACATAAGAAAGTTATTGGAAACAAACTGGCAGTTTGAAGACACAACCTATTCTTAAATAAATCTAAGCTTTCAGTGTTGTGTATGTTCCTTAATTAAAATAAAAGTTTTTAAAATGAGAGTGTGAGATACTTTGTGGGGAAAATTAAATGTTATGTGTTGGTAAAGGCTTGTTTCTTTCATAGCCTGCCATGTCGATCTGTCCTAAAGACTTGGTAGGAAGAAAAGATGGTGCTTTTTTTGCTTTAAAATTTTTGTGCTGAATTGAAGCATACATAGCTTACATTAAGCTTATTCCATCAAAATATTCTCTCCCCAGCACCCTCAATGGTTGGTGCCACAGTGATCCCTAAACATATCTCCACTGTCATTCCTGAATTATTTTTTTTAGTTCATTTGAAAATAAGTGCTAAATCTTCTAGATGATTCTGCAGTTCTATGTTATCAGATAGATGTAACCAAGAGAACACGTGTCTGACTCTCTGGGAATCATATCCTTACATGAAATCTGTCACTAACCATTGGTTAGAGATTCCAGGGAGGTCACTTGTTTTCTCTAGGTCTCAATTTCTCCACGCATAAAATGGGATGGTTATCTTGAAAAATTTGGGGGTCTCCTTCACCTCCAAAATTCTGTGATCTTATAACTAAAATTGTATACCCTAGCCTTGTATTGACACCATAATATCTAATCTAGGGAAAATTTCACCCTTGTGCAATAAATTGAGCAAAGAAACACTTTTTAATGACCATAAATGCATTCGGTGTTTTTAATAATTTTCGTAATGTGACTGGCAGGTTTCTTTCTATTCTTTGATTTTCATCATATTTTATTTTTAATTTTTAATTCAATTTCTCTTGAAAAGGTCAAAACCATATATACACACACATCAGGGGGGAAAGTGAATGTGAAAGAAAAATATATCTTATCTACTGGGGAGAATATCAAAATATCAGATGACACTCTTGCCATAGGAACCAATTTTATTAGAATTCTGATTTTCCTTATAATTCTATCTCTTATGCCTTACACAGAAGCAATATACATCTCACAATGGCAAACAGAAATCCCCACAATCACACTAAATAAACTCCAAAATTCAGTTTTCATGAAAACGTTGGAATTAGTTAAGTTTTAACATTTCTGGCAAAATAAAGAGAAAAATTCATGCAACTATCTTTTCCCCCAGCTTGCCTTAGTTGTGACCACAAAGAAGTCAGAAATTAAGAGGAAAAAAAGAGGTAAACATTCCAGGCATAGGTATTTGAGGTTTAAAGTCTGCTTTTAAAGGTTTTATATATAGGCCTCAATATCTCATGAGAAAATTAATAGCAATAGTTAACATTTTTGAGTGACATATACCAGGTGCTTAATCTCATAATTTCTAATATTCATTAGTAACCTACTCAATCATGTCTAAATAACAATAACAACAAAAACTATCACTCAGTGTCTATGAGTAAGAAAAGAAAAGTGTGCATTTCTTCTATAAGACAAGGCTGAAAAGAAGAGCCAGTGTATGGAGAAGGTAAGTAGAGACAGAAGAACGGTTCTTAACCAGGGGTACTTTGCTACCCAGGGGAACTTTGAAAATATCCGAAGACAGTAATGGTTAATGGTTGTTACAACTTTGGGCAGGTGGGTGAGGACCTACTGGCATCTAGTGGGTAGAGGTTGCTAAGCACACTACAGCCGATGGACTGCCCCACACAATAAAGGATTATCTGGCCCCAAACAAGAGTGCTGAGGTGGAGAATCCCTGAGAGGCCATAAGCAAAACAAAACAACCAGTTGCATAGTAACCAAGGAGGGACTCTAAAGGGAAAAAATAAATAGGGGTTTTCTAAGCTGTATCTTATGGATTGTACAGAATAAAACCCTACAAATTTCCTATCTTTGGTATATTTGTATCAGCGGTCCTCCACCAGAGACAATTTTGTCAATGTTTAGAGACAGATTTGGTTGTCACAACTGGGGGTGGTGGTGGTGGCATTGGCATCTCCTGGGTTCCACTAAACACCCCACAGTGCGTAGGAGAGCCCCCCCATCAAAGAATTGTCTGGCCCAAATGTCAGAAGTGCCGTGGCTGAGAAACCCTGCAATTAATTAAGCTAAAGGAAAGAAACAACAACAGCAAACCAAACCCACTTGCAGAGAAACCGTATTACTCTGTTTCTGTATCAAAATATACAGAACTGGGTATTTTATAAAGAAAACGAAATTTATTTCTGACAGTTTCTGAGGCTGGGAAGTCCAAAGTCCGGGGAACATATCTGGTGGTGGTGACGGTGACCCCTCACATTGCAAGATGGTGGAAGCAGAGAGAGCAGAGAGACTAACTTCCTCATTCACTCTTCTTTTAAAGCCCTCCAAACCATGCTCCTGACCACCATTATTAATCCATTCACTACAGCACGGTCCTGCAATCTAATCACCTCTTCAAGGCTCCACCTTTAAGTTACCATAATAGGATTTCCCACCCTCTTAACACCACCACAGGGGTGGGGGGATTCAAGGTTTGGGGGTACAATCAATCCAAGGCCAAACCACGAAGGCACTGAACACGCACTGGCACAGGAGTGAAAGTATGAGGATTCAGCTGCCCTCAGAGTTCTTCCTATAAGATTCTTAGCATAGTGACTCACATTCAGTAGGTATTCAACAAATGTTAGATTCCTTTCACCCTCACTCTCCCATCACCCATTATATACTGCTTGTTCAGTATTCTGGGTGCTGCTCAGGCTATTTGCCCCGGTCTGGAATGCCCCTTTTCTTTCCTCTCTGCCAAGCCAAATCATAGTCATCATTCTGGGTCCAGCCAAAGTGCCACATTTTCCCTAAGTTCCTGTCTGCTCTCCTTCATTTCAAAACTTCTGTAGCTCTCCTTATCTAACAATAATTTTGACATTTATACTATACTAGTTTGTATTCCGACAGAGACAACTTTGAAAAATTCAAATGAATTAAAAGAAATTGCACTATCAGGTATTTAAATACACTATAAAAAGTACAATACTTAAAACATTTTTATCCCATGCGATTGACAAACTGAGATAGAACTGTCCAGAGATAAATCTGCATAAGAATAAGTTATGAGATAAAGGTGAAACTTTAAATCAGTAAACAAAGGAAAGTCTATTCTAAACCAAATAAATTAAATAAATAAATGAAAATTATGTGAAACATAAAAGAAAATTAATTTAGAAAAATCTCCTACTATTAAAAATAATCCACACTACATCCTTGCTCTTTATAAAAGAGAAAAGAACTTGAAACTTACATAGCAAAATAATTTCTGATATCAAATTGGAAAATAATTTTTAAATATAAAAGTAACAACAGAAAATTAAAGGTAAATATTAATAGGTTTGATAACATAATAATGAAAATCTTCTGAATGTCAAAAATACCATCGAAGACACAGGAAACACCAGAAAAATAATTTTATTTTATTTATTTATTTTTTTCTTATTATTTTTCTTTTAATTTTCTTTTGTCAATATACAATGTGGTTGATTATTGTGGCCCATTACCGAAACCTCCCTCCCTCCTCCCTCGCCCCCCTCCCACCCAATGATGTCCTTCAAATACATAACACAATCATAGTTTTTTATATTTAACACAGAGAGCTTTTTACAAAGAAAAACTAAAAGATGGATCCCCAAATAGAAATATGGACAGAAATGTAAAAGGCAATTCACCAGACAAGTGAACATTAATCATGTTAAAAAGTACTTAACTTCTTTGTAGTCAAAGGAAGAAAGATTAAACCAGTGACATAACTTATTCTCTAGAAAACTGGGCTAAGATTAGGAAAAAAACCCTGACAATACCTCAGGGTATAAAAGATGCAGGGAAATAAACACCGATAAATTACAATTTGGTATAATTACATTCCTTGGAGAGATAGTTGAGATTATGTATAAAATCTGTATATGTCTAATAGACTTTGACCCAGTAATATTACTTATATATTTACCCTAGTAAGATAATCACGTATATACCAATATTTATATACAAGGCTTAAAGTGTTAATTTAAATAGAAACAATTAACAGAGCTAAAAGACAACCAACAGAGTGGGAGAAAATATTTGCAAAATACACATCCGACAAAGGACTAATATCCAGAATATATAAGGAACTCAAACAACTTTACAAGAAAAAAACAAGCAACCCAATCAAAAAATGGGCAAAAGAGCTAAGCAGGCATTTCTCTAAAGAAGATATACAAATGGCCAACAGTCATATGAAAAAATGCTCAACATCACTCAGCATCCGGGAAATGCAAATCAAAACCACACTGAGATACCATCTCACCCCAGTTAGGATGGCAAAAATCCAAAAGACACTGAAAGATAAATGCTGGCGTGGCTGCGGAGAAAAAGGAACTCTCTTACATTGTTGGTGGGAATGCACAATGGTGCAACCCCTATGGAAAATGGTTTGGAGGTTCCTCAAACAATTGCAGATAGATCTACCATATGACCCAGCTATCCCACTGCTGGGAATATATCCAAAGAAATGGAAATCATCAAGTCGAAGGTACACTTGTTTCCCAATGTTCATTGCAGCACTCTTCACAATAGCCAAGAGCTGGAATCAACCCAAATGTCCATCATCGGATGAGTGGATACAGAAAATGTGGTATATCTACACAATGGAATACTACTCAGCTATAAAAACAAATGAAATACTGCCATTTGCAACAACATGGATGGACCTTGAAAGAATAATACTGAGTGAAACGAGTCAGGCAGAGAAAAAGAAATACCACATGTTCTCACTTATTGGTGGGAGCTAAAAAAAAATAAAAACAAAAAACAAATCAATTCACTCACATACACACACACACACACACACACACAAAAAAAAAAAC